CTAGATTTTTCCCTAACCTTCCATTATAATGATTTTTTATATTATTTTGAATCACAATAGATTATTATAGAAATTTTTATTATAATTCAAATTTTATATTTCTTTAACAATTTGAATATATCGCTATCCCACCTATCATATCACCTACTGTTTTGTCATAAATAATAAATAATAAATTAATAGAATATTCAAGAAGAATATGCATGTACGTTTTTTCTAGATCAATAATTGAATATTGTATAAAATAATGTAAAAACAAGCAGTAGTTAAACTGACGCGACTTTAAATACTAACGCGCATTGCAATCAGTTTGACATCTTTCATACGAAACAAGAGCTTATGGTATTTCAGGGTACTTTAATTTATGACCGATAACTTTCTACTTTCGAACTAAATAAATGAGCTAGACATTCTCAGTTTCAATGAACCTTTAATAAATTATAGAAAGTTGGCGATGTTTTTTTTTTAAATAATCATAGTGATCCTATATCAGGCTTTCATATCTTTTTATGCAGGAGTTCAATTTATAATTGTATCACGTTACGTTTCTCCTCGTATGGATCGAAACGCGTGACGCATCCGACTTGGAAATCATTTTTTACTGAACGACAAGGAATTGCTTTGAGTGCACGTGTGCTACGTAGTAAAATACGATGAGTTTCACATATTCACGCCATCAACGTTCTAGTTACATCAATCGATAGTCTATAAATATACGTTAATATTGCTCCCATTTTTCCTCTATAATTTCAATGTTTACGTGTGCAATAACGCCGATGTATGATTATTGCCATCGTTACTATATATGTCTTTCATGTTTCATGTTAGACGTAACCAAATTTACGCGACAGGATACAATTTATCTACACGATTTACCTTTTTAACAATTTCGTTAGAATTTTTTACGGTGTATCCACTATAACTTTCAACGTATGCAGTGAGACATAGTATGTGATAATATTTAAGAGATATTTCCATCGAAGAAGCAAAATGTTCAAAGAAAGAAAATATATTGGGTTGGCAACTAAATAATTGCCGATTTCAGTTATAGATGTCTCTCACTCCCATTTTTATGATATCCGTAAATGTTATATTATAAAATTATTATTATTATTATTATGTTATTTTTTATTATCCGTGAATGTTAGCAACTGGACAAATTGAATGCAGCGGTCAAGGAAAAGCGACCAGAATTGGT